TCTTTCCCTGGAAGCTTTCTGGCTTCTGCGCTGTCGAGACTCGAGGGTTTCCGCTTTCCGAATACCATCCCGGGCTAGGCCGGCTTACCCGTATGTTTTGCACCAACAGAAGGCCCGGATAAAAATCAAAACACTCACATTATAATGACAAACAGGATAATCAGATCCCCTGCAAAATCATGTCTAAAATTGGAACGCTCAAAGGTTTCATGGAACACCTGGAAACATACGACCTAGGTCACTGTTTCGTTTTTATCATATTATTACTCTCTTTTTGTGCACCGTAAAATTCCGCACTGAATTTGCACGATCAAAGTTACATTTGAAACAAAGAATGAAGGCTGTCTAATGTAAGATTTTCTTTGCAGTGTCAAAAGCATGTAAAAGAGAAAAAAAGAAACTCAACCACCTGGCATGGAAGACTCTGAGCATGCTACGAGGGAGAAGCAAAGCTGACACGGAATCCTGACTTGCCACAGTCCTCACCAAATTTCTTCCAGATGTAGCAATAATTCAACTGGCAACAAAATCAAGCTCATTAGAAACGAAATTCCTAGCCAAGGTCACAAAAAAATAAGAGGAGATAACCACAATTTTCATGCTATGCTGTATGAAACTCGTGCAACAGTACACCATGTTATATGATGAGATAGCTTTCACGTTTTCCTGATAGCTTTCACGTTTTCCTGACAATTAAATTTTTGATGTTGAAACACCCACTGTTTCAATAGGATTGCGCTCTACAACTACAATTATACAGCCTATTTCTTAGTTACAAAATGGGGGCCAAAAAACAGATTACTGACCTCCATTCGGAAGAGATTTGTAGGAATAACAACTCCACCTCCTACAGAGCTACGAAATGATTCTGTGAACTTCCGTAAAGAAAAATTCCGGTATGCATTTTCTGTTAGTTTTTCAACATTCCCAGCAGATGCAAAAAAGTGTCCATGGATTCCTTTCGCACTTAACCACTTTGATGGAAAATCAAAAGAAAAATCTGCAAACACAGCAAGAGCAAGATCTCCTCCAAGATGATCCCTTCCAGAATCAGTGTTCTCATTGGCTGGGTTACTCTGAAATTGCCTTCGAGGCTCAGTAGGGCCCAGACCTCTTGTCCTAAACCCCCATAATGATGTCGGGCCACCCAAAGTGCAAACCGGAGATAGGTTGCCACCAAGGAAGAATCTTTCTGGCAGTGGTGAAGACATGCCTAAAAATCCAGATCCCCAGGGAAAAACAACACCAGCAGATATCCCCAAGTTCAGTGCAGAACGGTAAAATCCGAGAGGTATAGCACAACGAAGATCGAGCTCCTGTTTTAAGTAAGAACAGAATGGAAAGTGCACGAGAGAATTAAAAATGTAAGCAATGGAGTTGAAACAAAAAAAAGGCATCTCATATTTTAATCAGGTATCCAATAGCTCAACATGGTCAACATAGTAGGCATAAAATAGATCGATTTGTTTTAAAAAAGAGCCTGTAGAAAATACAGCCACACGCGCACATGTAACCACACTTCCAGTATGATATATTAATGAGAAATAGCTTGTTGTCCAAAAATACAGCTCAATAAACACAAGACACAAAATATTTTCAACATACAACAACAAATAATCTTTGCTCCATCAATGAGTCAACCAACATGAGTTGAGGAGCAGAGCCTTGTGCATGAATTTGAAATGATGAAAACTACAAGTTAACTTTCAAGTTTAGGACAAACAAATTAAAAGGTCAGTTTTTGTATGAAAATCTATTTTATTCCCCAATCTAAATTATTCAAGACTGGCATTCTAAGAAAGGTAGACACGAAAGGATGGTTGCAGCTTAAATTTTTAACCCTAGATAATCTTTAATTCTTTGATCTGTATCTTTTTCTCCTTCTTTCATGGAAAAGAAAATTGAGAGAAAGCGGTTCTTCATTCTCCAAAATGACAACAGTTCAATTCTTTTGACTTTTTTCTGTATAAATATATTTTCCTATTTACTGAATTGGATCCCAAATTCCGAATTTATATGATTTAGGAGAATTTATAAGTAGTTTTTTACTTTACATGATGATGAACCACAACTGAACAGTTAGTGTATATACTGTATTTACTCTCTGCATAGAACCTGCATTGGCAGCCACTGGTGGGTCTAGTAACTTTATTTAGTGGGAGCAATATAAATATACCTGTAACCAGGAGGAAAAAAGATACCTATATTAAAAAAAAAATTGCATGGTTTATACACTCTAATTATTGAAAAGAAAAGGAAATTTACTTAAAAAAATGTCTATAAATCATTAGCAAACTTGCCCCTCAAGCAAATATAGTATGAGAATGAGAACAGCAATATGATAGGTTCTTTTTTCTTCAACAAAGCTAGTAGTAGCATACATTTTCGTTACAACTCTCATAAAAAGTGGCATGCAACTTCTTGTCCTTGTTTTCTTAACTAGAAAAAAGAAGAAGAAGAATAAGGTGGGCATGTAGCTTGTCATTTGAAAGTAATTCATTTCAAGTTTTGGTACCTAAGTTCCATGACTGTCCAATTAGGCATGGAGTTGTCCAAGTGGGGGCAATGTTAACCAGTGAATGGGTCAATATTAAGTGTTCTTGAATTGTTGCCTACTTATCTAAAGACTCGACTATTTCAGTGGGGGATAGTTGACTACACTATCCACGGACTGCATCTGCCACAGTTACCAGCAAGACAATTATTGATTATCATTAAAGGAGTTCGACTTGACCCAGAGAAAGCTAAGGCCTGGTACTTAGACCTGTTAGCATAAAAAAATTGAGATCAAAGATTTGTTGGCTTCTTCTCCTGGAAAATGCAAAACCAGCCCCAACAAAAAGCTCAAAGAACGCCTCATAAACACAGCTTGCATTAAAATACAACAGATGGCCATCATTTTCAATGCCCAAATCATGAATGAGAAAGTTTCAGAAATGCAAGGAGAAAAGTTTATAAAGTTGTGAGTTATTGTTAACAAATAAGAAAATTACAAGCTGTCCATAACTGTGAGGAATAATAAGCAGTCAACGCTTTTCCAGTAAATAAAAGGCTGGCATGTGAGAAAAACAAGTGTACATTTCAGTATGATCTAATCCCACAGAATTGAGATTAAAACACCTTATAGACATTTATTTTCTATTTGGTGAAAGAAAACTGTCTGAAAAAACAGATGACACATGGATAGATGGAAAGGCATAGGCAATGAAGGCAGTCATAGCAATCCTGTACACGGCCAAAAAGTAGCAGCAAAGCAAGAAAACAATAATGCTTGAAAGAACTGAATAGAAGAGCTACAAGGAAAACCAGAAGATCAAACATGAAATGAGTATCTAACCTGGCGCAAAAATCGTAAGCTATGACTATCAGGGGCAAGGCCACCAATTTGGGTACTAGAAACAAAAGCAAATCCATGTGTTGGCCTCAGAGGTGAATTTCTCCTGTCAATCTTAAATGTGTACTTCAAAGATGAAAGTAAACCATGACCAAGCTGCCTCCTTATTGAACTCGAAGCCATTCGTGATGGATCTGTCAGGGTACGCCATGCAAGATTGTACACCAAGTCATGGTTCTGGGTTGAGAATAATCCAAGAGAGAGCCCCAGTGATCGCTCTTTGAAAGAGGAAAACTTAAGGCAGTCTTGAGATTGCAGGAATAATCGTGCTGTTACCGGGGTCACAAGTCCTTTGAATCTTGGCAAAAACACGCCAGCACTTATCTCTGCCTTGCGGTCACAATCATATGCCAGAGCACCATCCCAAAGATCCCCATAACCAAATATGTTTTTGTACTTGAGTGTACCCTCCAACGATGATGATGAAGCCTATAAAACCAACTTAAAATTTCAGAAACCCCTTAGTTTCTGTTGAATCTTGAGAAATTGAATTATAGTGTAAAAATGTGAATCAAACTCAGCGTGTCAGAACAGATTTTATAATTATGCAAACGCGGAATATTTGAGCTGTCTAAATGCCCCAATGAATTAGAACGTTAAACATGTGTATCATCAACCACCTTACTCTAAACATACCTGATACAATGCTCATAATCACTAATATGGTTGTAGAATGACACAAACTATTTAGGCCGCTAAAATTCTCTCTCCATTTCCACTATTTTTCAGCAACCAAGCATGGCACTGGATCACAATTCCAAAAAATAGAAACAAAATTCACAAGTGCTGTTTTGTTAGTGCCTAGATGGTAGATAATGCGCATCACAGCACCAAATTAAACAAGCAAACTCTATAAATGCAATTCCACTCTTCAACTGTTCCCATTTTCCCGTTAAACACAAGCACCTCTTTATTCAGTCATCAAATGCTCACTGAATCAACAAGCTCTAAATATCCCACATTTCTATCAAATTCACTCGCAGTCACTAAAGCAAAGCCACAAGAAATTGAAAGAAACAGATTACAGTACTATTCAATTACCCAAACACCGCCAATTCCGACTAGAAAAAAAAGTAATCAAAATTTATACCTCGCCTTTGTTGAAAACACCAATTTCACCCAAGAGAGGGCTCCTGGTTTCTACAACATCGACAATCACATTAGCAGTGCCAGGCAACTCCGGTGGGCCCGAATCAAGCGTGATCTTGACCGAATCAAAAATCTCAAGCGCTTGTAACCTAAAATTCACTTCACTCGAAGCCGCAAACAGCTCTTGAATAGTAGACGCATCTTTAAGCGACGCCGTTACTGCTTCAATCAAATAGTCTTTAGTTTTTGTGTTCCCTTTGATTACCACATCGTGCACGCGAATTGGGATCGATTCGTGTTGTATCCGGCTAAAGAAATTCTGAAAACGGTTTCGGAGCTTTGCCTTTTGGGATTCGAGGTCTTTGTCCTCTTCCTCGTCCTCGCCCTCGCCCTCGTCTTCGATGTCGTCGTTTTGTTCGCCTTCTTCTTCTTCTTCTTCGTCATTGTTATGGTTTCGTACGACCGGGTCGGACAAGTCGTCTTCGGGTTTTGCCATGATGAGAGAGTTGAGTGAGGCGAGGAGGGAGAGGGGGCGATGTTTTAGGTGTAAATATAGAGTGACGGTGCCTTGGACGACTAGTAGTGTGTGTGTGTCTGGTTGGCGCGTCACTCAATTTTTACTTTGCTGCGTTTATTTACTTTTTACTTTTGCCGTTTATTGCATTGAACATTGTAATTTTTCTAGGCCCGAGATTGTAGTGTTCTACAGCTTTTATACGCACCATTCTCTTCAACTTCTTCTCTTTTGCTCTCTCTCACAGATTTAAAAACCACTCTTCTCAATTGTTGCTTCCTCTCTCAGCTTCACCACTCCAGATCTAAAAACCACTGTTTTTACCTCTCTTGAATTCAACATCAAACCCATGATTTCAACATCGTTAGCTAATGCTGATGTAGGAGGAGCCTTTTTTTTATAAAGTCAATTGGTTTATACTTTGAGTTTTTGGCTGTTGAATGTGGGGGGTGAATTGGTTTATCAAACAATGGTAGGTTCATTGTGATGTATTGTCACATATGTTATATGTTTTTTTGTAGGTTTTATCTTTTGAAAGGTGTCTTGCAATGAAAAAAAGGTTTTATCTTTTGAAAGGTGTTTCGCAATGAAAAAAATATTCTTGGTATTTTATAAATAATCAAGGTTTTCATTTTCTAATTGATATAAAATAATGGCATTATCGGAACCTCCAAACGAAGAGTTTGGTTAGAACACATAACTCATTCTCATAAACAATATCAACTAATGAGATATGTTTATATTATTAGTATAAAAAATCCACTATAAGGCATTATCTCAAATGTCTTCTAGTGAGTTTTGCTCCTTAAAAGATATCTCGTAATGAGAGAGATATTCTTGATATCATATAAACAACTAAGGTTCTTGTCTCCTAACTGATATAGGATAATGGCCCTATCAAAACCTCTTAGATGAGGAGCTTAGATAAAGCATATGACTCGTTTTCATAAATGATATCAATTAATAAGGTGTTTTTAGTTACTTATATGATACCAAGAACACTTTTTTTATTTCAAAATGTTTTTTAAAAAATAAAATCTACTGAAAATTATATAAGACAATATCTTGTAGTTGCCTATTATGTTATTATTATGGACACACCTCATCAGCAATAAGATTATTACCCCCACATGTATTAGGAGATAATGATCAACACCAATAACACCTTTTTTATTATGAAGTGTCTTTTAAAAAATAAAATCTACCAACAATCATATGAGATAATACCTCATGATATACCTATCATGTTGCGGATATAACATACCTCATCAATATTGATTCAATATTGCAAGTGGCTTTTTTTAGCATCGCAAGTTTTTGTCTTTGGAGTCTGGTAATGAAGTTGAGAAAACCCTTTATTCCTTTTGTGAGAAGGTAACATTGGCGAGATGTGATCACATAATCAGCTTTAGGTGATTTTTATGCAAAAAGGTGCTGTTTTATCATTTCGCATAAAGAATATTTATGTGGATGTCGATTTGAAATTTCATAACATGGAACTTGATTATTTATAGGTTTGCCTAAAATGAAAGAGGTGGGGAAGTTCTTCAATTATTTGATGAGATGATTGAAGAAGAGTTAAGCCTGATTATATTAGTTTTGTTGGGGTTCTTTTTGCTTGTAGTCATGCTGCTTTGGTTGATAAAGGGCTGAAATATTTTGCCCCAATGAATTTGGTGTATGACATTAAACCAGGAATGGAGCTCTGCAATTGCATGATGTATCTTTTAGGCCATGCTGGTTTGCTAGAAGAAGCAGAAATATTGATAGAGAATGCAGATTGCAGAGATGACCCATCTCTCGGGACGGTTCTTGTGCTTGTACAGCAAGTCCACAATCTGCTATTGCAGAGCGCATTGCAAAGAAAGCTTTGCAATTAAAGCTATGTCTATTTAGCTAATCTGCTATTGCAGAGCGCATTGCAAAGAAAGCTTTGCAATTAAAGTTATGTGTATTTAGCTAATGTTTATGGAGTAGTTGGCCGATGAGATAATGCAGTTAAAATTCAGAATTTAATGACGAAAAGAGGTGCTGGCAGTCGAGACTTTACAGTAATATTTGTTAATATCTAGATGGCAGTCTCGAGTGAAAAGAATCTTCTGTGAAAATCATCTAAACAATTTTCAAGGCTGAAGAAAAGCCTTGACCATACAGAATCACAGAAGACATACAAGTTCAAAAATCAAGAGTGACGAAAACACAAGCAGACTACGGACACCAGTTTTTCAGCAACAGCTATCCTTGACCATCAAATTTGGAAGGCTTCCAGTCATTTGGCATATGAGAAGATTTTCTCTTGTCAATGTCTTGGTTAGAATGAGAACTCGGAATGTTGTCTACACAGAATCTCCTGCGATGAAATGGGAAGACACCAAGATTTTGTTCATGGGAAACTTCTCAACCTAAACGAAACTTCCTCTGCTGTCAAACCCTCCTTCGTAATACAATCAACTTCAGGAATTAAACAATGACACCAAGTTATCTTCCATGATTAATTCCTAGGAGTTATTACGACCACTAATTCGGATAAATTCCCTTTTTTTGGTCTTCGAGAGATACAATCAAATAAAAAAAAAGGTGTGCGATCTTTGCACTTAATTGAATAGATCTTTCAAACTTCAATTAATCTCGATGAATAGGAATGCATCTTTAGGAACTGATGAAGCTTGTTATCCCATTAGTATTTTGGAGATTTTCTTTACTTTCTGTTCCACATAATTTCTAATAATAACAAATTCTCATGTTGCTTGTTCAACTTTCTGAATGTTTTGCAGTTTACACATTTCAGTTTTGGAGGCTCAAATTATATATGGCTGAGTCAGACTATGGGCTTAAACAAAATTACTTTATTTCCATCCTTTCTTCTCTTTGTCCTTTGAAAATCTCTGCGGCAAAGTTCAAACAAGACCTAGCAAATAAAAGCAGCCCTTGGCAAAGACCTTTATCATTGATGACCAGAATTTACGGCCGCGAAAATTTGCAATGTTCGAACTGAATGCCTGGTGACATAAGACTACGCTAGAAAATATAAAAGTAACAAGGTCTGGTTCAACGCCTTTGTCCTGCATTTTCATGAATGTTTTCAATGCTTTATCAATCTCCCTTGATGACCCATAAGCATATATTGCAACATAGTATGGAAAGTAAAGATCATAGCATTAAGTGATGATGTCTATTGCCACCCCAGATTTCAAAATTTCTAAAAAGACTTCAGCTGCATCCTTAAGACACTGCCTTCCTGTACAAATCAATCTCACATATTATTCGTCGGCAAAACCACATTTTCGGCATATCCATCCATCAAATTCTCAATTCATCCCATCTCTTAGCTTTACTCAATGTTCGAAGCACGATATTATAATGAATCACATTTGAAACATAATCCTTCTACGACTTAGAAAACTCAAAAACCCTAACAACTCTCTTCCAATTCCTCTGTTCTTTTAAACCACAGCCTGTGCTTTAGGACTCAAATTCTCACAAAATGAATAATTGGTTTTCTCAACATCATTATCAGACTCCAACGACAAAAAAAAACTTGTGATGTTGAAAAAGGCTCCTACTTCTGTAGTATTATGGATCTTGAATCAATATTTTCTATAATAACCCAATTCACCCTCACATTTAATAACAAAAAAATCAATGCATAAATCAATTAACCTTGCAATAAAAAGCTCATCCCACAACAGAACTCGCATTTGTGATATCGTGGGAGAAATCATGGCCTTGATGTTGAGCTCGAGGGGGAGGCAAAAGCAGTAGTTTTAGGATCTGGAGTGAAGCTGAGAGAGAGGAAGCAACAATTATAATTATTTTTTAAATAATTTTTTATAACAAAATATCTATTAATAATATTATTTTATTGCTTATAAATTATTTTTAATATTAATATATTAAAATAAATTATTAATTATTAATTTAAAATAAATAAATAAATTCTAAATTATTTTAAAAATATTTTAAAAACCTAAAACAATAAGAACACCCTCTCTACGAGGGAGCAAAAGAGCAAAGAGAATGGCGCTTATAAGAGTTGTTGACGTGTCATAGTTGATGATGTGGCATCGATTTTATTTTTAATGAATTAAGCTGCAATTTTTAGAATTTTTCCCTTCCAGGTTTCAACTCCAGGAGGTCATTTGTTATCTTCTGCCGCGCATTGCTGCATCGGAGTGTAAATAAAAATAGTAAAGTTTTCAGTGCTTTTTAAAAGTTGTGATTTTAGGGGTTAAAATTGTAATATTATCAAGTTACAAACTATGAAAAAAAATAATCTTATCATGAAAAATTATTTTATCACTCGGTAATTTAACTAATTATTATGTAATTGTAATTATACTGTTTGTTAATATCATTATACAATTACGATTAAAAATTCATATTATTATATCTGAAGAGAAAATACTTGGCTGCTTGGGCGAAGAAAAAATATTGTAAATTAAGGTTTTGATTCTCGTTTTGTCTACATAAAAGCACATTAAATCACATTTATATATTTTATATTATCAATAAATGTCCTAATTTGGATGTTTGATTGTTGTCGAACTTAAGAGAAATACTACGAATCATGTAACATGTGATCTAATAATTTTATAAAGAAAGGATCTGATTGAAAAATAACAACGATATAAACAACACATAATTCAACTAATATACTATTATAGATTCCTAATCCTCGAATGAACCTTGAAAAAGCGTTGATCTCATAAAAAAAAAAATTATAACACTAGGCGCAAATTAAAAAAAAAAATCAACGTGCTTTTAAAATTAACATGCGTTTTAAATTGATTTAAATAAAAAGTAAATATATTGCAAGAAATGTTGATTCAAAAGTTTCTTGTTTGAATCTTTTTTTAGTTTCTCTTTTAATTTCTTACAAGAGTATTTTTTATTCATGTATGTAAATATTTTAATTTGCTCTTATTATTGGATAATATAAAAACATAAAGACACACAAGCTAAAACTAAAAACCTCATTTTATTGAATTACAATTTAAAACTATTTTAAATTTGATTTTAAATTATAAAATGTTGTTAAAAAATATTATTATAA